TTCCACGTGTGATATTCCTCTGTGCGTAACTCCATGTTTTGAAGAGTACCACACACAACAGACACTAACATAATGTCTAATGGTGTGACGTGAAAGGCAAGGGGACTCACAATAAACAAGCACCCCAAGTGAGAGGCAAGGGGACTCACAATAAACAAGCACCCCAAATGAGAGGCAAGGTGACTCACAATAAACAAGCACCCCAAAGGAATCATTTTTTTGCAACGTCCACGTCGTCGATTCTGGGTAACGCTAAGAGCAAAAGCCTTTTGTAGAATTATAAAATTTCAAGGTGTATGGAGCTAGTAAAAGAACTTACATCCACTCTCATTGACTGAGGGATTGTGAAGTCCCATTGGGCGGTAGAACGCGTTCAATCCGAGGGTAGAACTTAGTACTTCTGCACTACGGACTGTCTAGAATGCCTTCTTACTATCAGAAAGACTGTGAAGTGCCATTTTTCAAGCGCTAATACCCAATTTCATGCTTTGACCTTCAAAGTTCAAGGTCAAAGAGGTGACTAGAACTTTTTTTACTATTTTTATTGTATTTAGCGGTTCATAAAACATAGGTATACCAATTTTCAAGCTGAAATACGCATTTTCATTATTTGATCTTCAAAGTTCAAGGTCAAATATGAATCTGACATTTTTTTCACTATTTTTATTGTAATCAGCACATCAAAAAACATTGAAAAGCGCTCTTAAACCTTCACTTATAATTTTTTACATTAGCTTTAACTTTCTTTCCGGGAGTGGTCCATATATGGACCAGCACTCCGAGTGGCGACTTGTCATAAGAAGTTCATTCATTTAAGTCATGAAATTCAGCAAAAATGCGAGGTCAATTTTAAAGGAAAAATCCCCGGAGCGAAAAGGTTAAATTTATAACAATTGAATAAATTTTTATTAACTTAATAAATTTGGCAAATTTTGCATAATGGATAATAATTACATTTACAGATTGATTTTATCTGCATACTTCTGTTATGTCAAAATTTTTCATACATTTTATCTATACATATACAACATATATACACACACACTCACATACATACATACACTTTGCATGTGTATACATAAGGTGTTTTCCAACTACGTACACAGACGACACTGTGTAACACTATGTCCATTAGTGTGAGAAAGAGTATTTCAGTATGTCTTTTTCACACTAATGGACACAGTGTTACACAGTCTCGCCTGTGTACGTAGCTGGAAAGCGCCTGTTGCTTTACTTTTACACATATACACATACAATTGTTTTACTTTTACACATATATCTAAATATACATTTAAATATAAGTATGAAATAAACTACCGGGTTTTTATTAATGTTTTAGTTATCATAATTAATTGTAAAGCCAGATATAAATATTTAATATTATGTACCTCTAATCAATCAATCATGTACACATTTGTGATATTCTACAAGCTGCTCGCACTCAATATCTTGTACCTAATATATTGTTCAAATGTTACATCAAACAAGTAAAGATTTATCTGCGACTGTGTGAGACATAAGAATCATGATATGTCTACTTTTAAACAGAATTGCGCCAAAAATTTATATTACCAAATGTACATCTTGTTTAACAATTTGTTTATTTCTTGAATATTCTATCAGATTTTCTCGACTTGCAAATATGTCAAGAAATATTTTTAATTATATTTTTATTTACTTTTATTTGTTTCGGACATTATTCTGCTTTGTAAATCATGTCATCATTTTTCATTCTACATCAAAACTAACGTTTTATTTGACTGTAGCATTGGAAGATTATATGCGTGTTTATATGCGTGATCTATACTACTGATTAGTAGTAATGGTTGTATCGTTTCTATATTCACTATCAGTACGAAAAATTTATAATTCACGTTATATATACTAGAGATATTCAGTGCAAAACTCTAGTAAATTGCAGTTATAACAAAGATAGTGTATAGCACGAAACGTTGGCTGCGGTCTACATGGCGCTACTAACGATTTGAATAATTTGCTGTCGTCAATGTAGAAACGGTGCTTTAGCAATTGTTTCTACATTGTCATATGTGTTTTACATCTACTTCAGTAAAGTAGTGAAACACAAGTGATATTGTGAAATACTAGTGATTTAGAAAACTAGAAAACTATTTCTTTTATAATATCGTATCAATATTGTCTTGGACGATATTAATAGAAGTGTATTTATTGTTATTTCTACCTGTAAAAAGTGCAATGGGTAATTAGGCAAAGAGACAGAACAACAGTCTCTCTCTGCACATAGACTGTCTCGGAAAAAAAGCTACATACTAAGGTAAGTTGCAATACTTTATCTGTCTTTATCCACACACGATGGATTTCTCAAATTATTTTTTTACCATAGTTCACTATTTCTATATCTGATTTCATGTCATCTTATGTCTCTTTTTTCAATACAAATGTTCGAAATTTATGTTAAACATTAAATACAGAAAACTATTACTTTGTTACGTCCTGCAACTCTACGGTTTCCTTCTTTATGCAACGCAGTATGGTGAACACTTGGTAGAATCAAATTATATTTTAAACAAAAACGCAGAGATAAAATGCAGACTAAACAGAAAACTCCCGGATAGAGAACAGGAGATCGATCTGAGAAAACACGCGATAATAAAAATTGAGTAAACACAGAACGAAACCGCGCTCTCTAACGAAATAAAACAATAAATCCGAGAACAAAAATTCAAGCTCCGCGGCCGAACAAATGCCGGACACATGCAATAACAATTCCCATGTGCCCAAAACGACTAGGCAAAATTAATAAATCTCCTATCTCCGGAAGAGAAGTTTTCAACGGGTAGGACCGCTCGAGACCCACTAATAAACAATTCTGCCAGACAAAAATTATCTCAATAGTTTAAACACCAGCTGCAAAAGCAAGAGACGCTGTCGCACAGATGGTGTCTACTTTAATAGTCTTTTACCAAATTAGAAATCACCACCGTTTTTGGTGGAAGCGGGCGAACCGATCAAGCGCTCTGATTGGAAGCCCCGTCGCTACCAAAAAGCGCATATAAAGCGACACTCTCGCGAACAGAAGCAGAAAGAATCCGGAGTGCGCCGAAAAAAAATCAACAGTTGTGACAAGTGAAGAACCGGTGCAAAGTGCGAGTCAACCACCGATTTAGAAAACCATCCAGCCTAGACGCCCAGTTGCTGCGACCGAGGAACCACGATCGAGCTCAAATAACAACACGGGTATTCACACCGACATAAATAGTAAGTGGATTAAATTTATCGGTACAACCACCCCCCTTTTCTCAAAAAGGAACGGAATAATAAAATAATAGAGAGAAACGGGCGTGTTCCGTTTGACCACAGTACGATTCGACACCGCTCGATTCGACACAGATTTATTCGACACCAAATTATTCGACACCGTAC